TGGCGCCGCGTCGACGAGATCATCCGCGAGGAGGCCCTCAAGCAGGCCGAGGCCGCGGCGTCGGTTCAGGGGGACCCCGGTGCAGCCGCGCGCCCCACCCCTGCCGCGTTTTTCTCCTTCACGGAGGAGGAGTACGCCGCGGTGGCGTTGCAGACCAGATTACAACCCACATCACAGGCCGGACTACAACCCATGTCACAAGCCCCGCCCCGTGCCTTCCTGTTCGACTACGCCGCGAGCGCGAAGCTGGCCGCGCTGTACGAACGCTACGGCAGCTTTCCCGTGGTGGCCGACCGCTGGGCGGGATGGGATGCGGCGGGCATGGCGCCGTGCGCGGGCGAGAACAAGGACGGGCCGTCCGCGGAGGATCTCGCGGAGGAGTACCATCGAATCACGTCCGGCGTGATGCAACTTCGGATGCGGCGATTGCGTGCGGCGATCCCTGCGAGAGCGCTCGACCACGGTGAGGGCCACCCTGCACCGCGAAAGCGCGCCCGGAACGCGTCTTCCGCTGGCGCAGGGGACGACGCCCCGCAACACCACCACCACCCACTGCTTTCCCTCCTTGCGGGGCATCCGCTGCTCAGGGCGACTCAGCGCCCGGGCGAGGACGCCCCACCACCCCATGCTGCCGTGAAAGACGGCACCGATGGGCATGAAAATGAGGCCGGGGAGGTCGGAAAGGACCCTGTGGTGGCTGAGGAGCCGCGTGATCAGTCGTGGGTGCAGCACCACCGACATCTGTTTCAGCAGCTCACCACCCCTGGAGCTTGGTACGATGCGGCTCGGGAGCGGCACCGCCGCCGCGCATTGATTCGACTTCTAGAGCATGAAGCACGGATTAACGTGCCGTATAACCGCGCCGGGGCGAGCTATCTGGAGCTGGTGCCGCGCGCTACGCAGGTTTTATTTCGCCTGCTTGCGATATTACCCGATGCGCTTCCCGTGGGGTCCACATCCAGCGCAAACGGTGGCGTATTGCAGCCTCATCCTGGAACCTTCGCGACGGTGGACTCCTCACCATCCCGGCATCTCCCCAACGTGGGTGATGGGAATCCGTTGGCCATGGTGCGTCGACTAATAGATAAACTCTCTAGAAGTGGGAAACCTATTTTGTCGATGGAAAGGCCCTGTAACGAAGCAGCTACGGAGGGGGCTGTGAAGGTCAATAGTGCAAAAATCGCAGATGATCTCATCAGCCGGCTTCTAAAACCCCTCCCCAGTATTGATCCCATGGCTTGGCGTTCTGCACAAGAGTCCTTAGCCAAGATAAGCAACACATCCTCGGCATCGGCGGCCGCGAGTTTTTCCTCCACCGTGCTGGAAGTTCTGGAAGAGGCATTCGAAGCCCTACCGATACAGTGCACGCGGCTGCTGTTGTGCTCCCAAGCGGGCTGGTTATTGCCCCCGTCCGCATCCCTCCAGAAGTTTATGAACCCCACGACCAGTGATGACCAGGAGGATGGTGGTGCCAAAAATGGCAATCCCAACACCCCTAATAATATCAACACCAACGATGAAGAAAAGCCTATAACCGGCGCGATGAGCCCTAAAAACCCGTCCGACGCGTCGCACGGGCCCGGCGAGGGCCGCGAGGTGACCTCGGCGGAGATGAACTTCCTGCAGCGCGTTCACCGCTACGGGACGTGTAATCAGGCCCATAGCAACCTCAGCGAGACGGTCCTCCTGACGCTGCCCCCTGCCATCCCGAGGCTCCATCGGGAGGTGGAGCAGGAGCTCGAAAAGTACCTCTGGGAGGATCCCGCCGCCTTGATGGTAGACACGCCGCCCGTGCAACAGCTCACCGCGGATATTCGTGTGGTGTATTCGCAAAACATCATCCTCCAACGACTGCTGACGAGGTTGGAGAATCTCGATGACACTCTTACGCGGCTGCACGGCGACGCGCAGGGATCGCTTCGCGAAGTCCATGGAACCTGGAGCGGCGCGGAGACGAATAAAGGTGGGTGATGGAAAGAGGAGGAAAACCAGAGAGGGGATGACCGCCTCAGAGCATCGAAATAAGCGTTAAAGCGGGTGCTAATAAATGGCATCACGCCTTTTCTCAATTAGAACAAGCGTGATTTTCCCGGGTTCGTTTTTTTAGAGCGAAACGGTGATAGAATACGATATCTATATGTATGTATATATAATAGATATTAAATATTCATATTCGTTGCAAAAAGGCATTCTCGGAAGATGATCCTTCCACAACTAAGAGGAAAAGCTTTATATCGGAATTCTAACATTTCAGTGATTGTTGCCGTGTGGACCGAGAGGACAAGGAAAACTATATGTGCCTATCCATGCGTGTGATTACTCGTCTTTAGTCTTCCCCATGTATAAAGGCGCTACCCCTTCTAGAGAGAAAAGGTGGTGAGAGCTGGGGGATGTTTCAAAAAAACTCTCTCGTAGATAGAAACAAAATAGAGATTTGCATCCAAAAAAATATTCCTGAAAGCTTGTGGAAGTTTTACGAAGTATGACTTCTCTTTCCATTACACATGTCACAAGACCTCTAGTTGTACGCAGAACCGTGCTCGTCGCATTTCAGTGTTGAAATTGCAAGGGATTTCGTCGATTCATCAGTCGTTTAAGTCATTCTCTCCTTCGTACCATTGGATTCTCTTCTAGCAGTCTTTACATGCGCGCATAAAAAAGCAGGCCATCGAATGGGAGCGGGAGGAAGAGAAGTTTTCTAAAAGGAATAGAATCGATATGTCGAAATAAAAATGTTGGCTTCGTTGGCCCCATAACTCTGAGGGAATGGGGGTCTCCATCAGAAACGCGTTATTCGTAAAGGAGAAGATTGCGTAAATACTTCATTTTCTTCTTTTCATATTCATCACTTTGTTGTTGTTATTGTTTTGCACGTTTATTCGTGCATTTTATCTGAGAGCACTCATCGCAAATCCCAAAAGAACTAACCATTATTCAGTCCTTGAGAAAAAAAGCTTTACAAAACTCCTAAGTGTTTATCAAAAGTTCATCATGTTCGACATCGCGTTTGAGAATGGGCAACCCACCTACCAAAGCAACACCATCTTTAAGTGTTTCAGAGATAACGGCAACGGTCTCCTTTTCCGCATCGTTAACGAAGATGAGAAGAAGTGGGCGTTCTACAACGATACCACGAGCTACAACATGGTGGTGCGCGTCGTCTTTGGCAAGGATAGCGAGATCGAGGCGTTGGAGGATACCCAAATGAGTCGTGATGAGGAAACTAACGAGTATAAGTGCGAGTTGCACATCCCACCCTTGGAGACGAAGATGTTCATTAGCGGCGTTCCTAATGGCTACAGGATGAACTTTGAAGCTAACCCTATCCCTAAGTAAACGAGAGATGAATAGTATCTAAGACTATTTTTATATAAATATATATATATATATGTATGTATATATATATATGCCTGAAAAAAAAGGAATTAATTCATGTTTATAGTTTATGTTTACTAAGTACTGTAAGTGTTTAGAAGCCAGATCGTAAACTTTCTTTGATGATTTTTTGGATTCATTTCGAATAACTTTCTCAGTGCCTTTGAAAATTCACTGGAACGTGAAACTTCTTTCCATGATCTTTTTCGTTTCCCCATGTGGGTGGATGTCTGTATGGTGATTTCCAAGCATCCTGTCTGACTACATCCACTGGAAGATACAACTCACGGTATAAAGCAATATATTATTCAGGAAGGAAAAATCTCAACACCAATTAAATAAATATAAGATCTAATAGGGAAAGGTAACCAATCGTAACCAATCGTATTGACTTCTTTTTCTTTCTTGACGAAGTAAACGCAAAACAAGCGGAGAGAGCTCCCTCCCGTGTGGCGCCGGATTAATTATTTACCTTATTACTTGTGTTTTTTTTTCCCCTTTTACGTGGGCGTATGGAATCAAGCGCATGGCCGATGATCTCTCTAGCCTAACCAACGTCCAATGGATCGAGGAGGATGCGCTTCGGCGGGATGTCGTCGCTCGCGTGCAGGCCGAATCCGACGTCGCCGCGGTGGAGGATCAGAAGAAGTTGCGAGCCGCGTGGGAGGACTTTCAGCGCGCGGAGAGTCGCGTGAAAGAGCTGGAGACGAGCCACAGCGCCGCGGAGCACGCGCAGGCGCAGGCGGCCATCGCGAACGGCGTACCTTCGCGCGACCCCCCCCCCCCCTCCGCCCCCGCGATCGCTTTCGGCGTTGTTGTTTCAACTCAGAACCGCGCGAGGGGTGCTGGAAAAGAAAGAAGCGATCCTGCGTCGGACCCAAACGGAGGTGGAGCACCGCCAGCGCGAGCGGCTTCGCCTCGCGCGATCGCGGCCAGACGGGGACGCCCCCCCAATGGGGCGGCCGCGCGCCCCTTTGGATGGGGAACCCGACGTGCCAAACGGGTTCGACCCGCTTTGGGGGCCCCCGACGGACGGGAGGCGTCCGCCACGGCCGCTTTCCACCCCGCGCGGGATCTCGACGCGCGGGAAAACCCCCCCCGACGTGGAGCTCCTCGCCTATCGCGCCGGCGAGGTGCTCCCCGCGCTCGGCCGCGTCGTCCTCTCGCGGGCGGAGCTCCGCGCGAAGAAGCGGCGTTACCTCGACGACGCCGACCCCGACGCGTTTCGGGCGCGGCAGGAAAAGCGCCGACGCGGCGAACGCG